CGGCCACTGCACTCCAGTCTGGGTGACAGAGTGAGACTCCAACTCAAAAAAACAAAAAAACAAAAAAAAATTTTTTTTGAGTTGGAGTCAAAAAAACAAAAAAACAAAAAAAAATTTTTTTTAAATAAAACAATTGTAGAGGCCAGCAGAAAATTTAGCCAATAAGTTTCCCTGTGCTTAGTTTGGGGTCACCTGAATGGAATTTAGATAAAGAAGCAAATTTGGGAGAAAAAGGAACAAAGGAACTTGAGCTCTAGAGAAAGGCCAGGCAGGCAATCAGATTACAGAAGACATTTGTAGGAGTTAGTGACAGAAGTGCTTTTGCCTTCAGAGATCCATATTATAAAACTTTTGAGAATCAGTCCATAAGCCATACATAGATCTAGGAATATTGTTTTTTTAGAACTCCTTTTCTAAAAATATATGTAAATGACTTTATTGTTTCCCCTAGGAAATGAGAACAGAAGCTATTGCCAGACCTCTGGAAATAAACGAGACTGAAAAAGTGATGAGAATTGCAATAAGAGAGGTTTTGGTAAGATTACTTTGCTTTTCTATAATGTTTTTATGCCTGGGTCTCAAAAATACCAATTTTCTGCCTGCACAAGGCAGAACAAGCTAGGCCTAGTAACAAGGAGTATGTTAGCACAGAAATAGAAAATTTAGAGGACATTCTAGAAACCTAGGTTACTCACTACTATTTTTTCTCATTGTAGATAAAAAGTTTCTCATGTCATTGAAAATCATCAGTTTTAACAATTTGATAATCATTTTTAATTTTTTATTAATTTTAATAAATAATGCTCTATTTTATTTTGTTTAACCAATTCCTCACTGCTGAGTATTTAAATGAATTCCAGGTTTTCTTAATTCTAAACAGCACTGTAATAAATAGAATGACCACCTTTGTTTACTACTCTCCCACTGTCAGTTATCCTCTCATCTAAAGAATTCACTTGGGGAAAATAAAAATTCAATTGGAAGACAGATCATGAGGGAAACTCTCGACTTAGACTGCTTGGGTTTGAGTTCTGCTGTGTGATCTTAGGCAAGTTACTTAACCTCTCTGTGCCTTACTTTCTTCATCTGTAAAATCGGGAGATCTGCATTGCCACCTGTGTGGGATGTTCATGAGCATTAATCATGACAGTACCTGTTAGGTTGGTCTCTGGGACACAATAGATAGTCATCATTAGTGATTTACTCATTAGACATGGGCAGGGGGCCTTATGTACATCAAGGTTAGGCATAAAACAATTTCCTGTGAGTCGTACAAAATTCTAAGAATCATGGGGTTTTTAAAAATAATTCCCTTGTCATTAAACAGTAATACTCCCTAGGCTGCCCGGCAGAGGGAGTCAGAGCCTCACAGTGAGAGGGGCATGGCAGCAGTGATGAGAGATCATTATGTACAGGCAGATGGATCAGATAAGTACATATATTAAGAATAACAGAGCCAGGTGTCTCACTGTTAGAGAATAGTTACAAAAAAGAAAATTAGAATGAGCCCTGAAATTGGAGGTGTTGGTTGAATGCATAGTTTTCGATATGTATGTAGGCAGATAAAGGAATAAATTTTGATATACACATATGTATCTTTAAGGAATATATGTATATAAAGGTGTCCTATTTATATACACACACATAAGCACACCCACACTCATACGTTTCTTATCTCTGAACACATCTGGCACTGGATCTTGGCTTCTAAATGCCATTCTGTACTAAAAAGAAGCAGAGCTCTTATGGGAAATTGGCTGATTCCAGAACTGGGGCAGGAAAAATATAAAATCTTGTGCCAGAAAGTAAGAAATGCTCACAGGATGAAAAGGAGTTGTCTGAAGGACACAGAAGCCAACTTGAGTGGGCTAGTCCTGGCCAAACCAGGGATAATTTAAGCATCAAAATAAATAAGTTTTTATAATTTATAGTATAGTTGAATGAAATAGGAATCCATGAGTTCTCGCTGACAAAAAAATAAATGAATATTTTAAAAGTTGAGGAGGAACAGGTTATTCACATACTTTCTATGTATCTCCCCACAAAATACTTATTTATTACAATGGAGAAGAGTCATTTCTCATGGAGAAGCCTGGCAGTCATCTCCTTAATCAGGTGGCCAAAGTGAACATCACCGGACTCGAGCAAATCAAAGTTATGTGCGCTTAATAGAATGCAGTCGTTTCAGGTACCTGCACAATGAATATTTGTATACCTAACCCTGAATTGTACCCCACAATTTTAAAATTTAAAAGTTGAAAAATAAGCCGGGCTCGGTGGCTCAACCTGTAATCCCGCACCTTGAGAGGCTGAGGTGAGTGGATTGCCTGAGCCCGCGGGTTCGAGACCCACCTGGGTAACTTGGTGAGATCTCATCTCTACAATAAGTCAAAAAATTAGCCGGGCATGGAAGCGCGCACCTGTAGTTCCAGCTACTTGGAAGGCTGAGGCGGAAGGATCGCCGGAGCCCAGCAGTTCGAGGCTGCGGTGGCCAGGAGCATGCCACTGCACTCCAGTCTGGGTGGCAGAGTGAGACTCCAACTCAAAAAAAAAAAAGTTGAAAAATAAAAAAATTAAAATAAAATAAATTTTAAAAAGAATGCAGTCGTTTCTGAGATAGTCCTGCCAAAAATGCATAATCTGAATCTAACCAGACAGAGCCAAATTGAAGGGCATTCTATAAATTAATTGACGTGTACTGTTCAAAAGTGAAAAGTCATGAAAGTCAAGGGAGGATGAGGCACATTCCAGAGTGAAGGAGGCTGCAGAGGTGTGGCGATGGAATGCCAAGGCGGCTCCTGTCTACTGTCGAGGACTTCACTGGGACAAATGGGGAAACTGAAATGGGTCTGGGGATGAAAAGGTGGTGGTGTGTCAGTGCTAACTTCCTGTTTTGATGGTTGTTTTGTGGGACAGTCCTCATTTTTTTGGAAATATACAAAGTATTCAGGGCAGTGGGGCATCTGGTCACCAACTTATTGTCTCCTAGGTCAGGAAGAAATGCTTTGTGTTATACTTCAGCTTTTCTGTAAATTTGTGAAATTTTTCTAAATTAAAATTTTTTTAAGTGATTATACTCTTATGCTTGTCAGTGTTCTAATTAAATCAAGTGAACATGCATAATGTGCTCTTAGTGAATATTTATTTATTTATTTATTTATTTAGAGTCAGGGTCTCTCTGTTGCCCAGGTTGGAGTGCATTGGCATGATTACAGCTCACTGTAGCCTTAAATTCCTGGTCTCAAGTGATCCTCCCACCTCAGCCTCCCAAGTAACTAGACTACAGGCACACGCCACCATTCCTAACTAATTTTTTTATTTTATTTTATGGTGATAGGGTCTTGCTATATGGCCCAAGCTAGTTTCAGACTCCTGGGCTCAAGTGATCCTCCCACCTCAGCCTCCCAAAATGCTGGAGTTACAAGCATGAGCCGCCACACCCAGTCCCATAGCACTAATGTATTAAAAATATCTGGAATCTGGCCTAATGCAATGGCTTACACCTGTAATCCCAGCACTTTGGGAGGCTGAGGTAGGAGGATCACTTGATCCCAGGAGTTTGAGAACAGCTTGGGCAACAATAGCAAGACCCTGTCTTCACAAAAATTAGCTGGGCACATGCTTCTAATCTCAGCTGCTCAAGAGGCTGAGGCAGGAGAATTGCTTGAGTTCAGGAGTCTGAGGCTGCAGTAAGCCACCGTTCTCCAGCCTGGGTGACAGAGCAAGACCCTGTCTTTAAAAAATAACAAACCCCCCAAAAATCTGGAATCTGCCTGCATATGAAAAATAAATAAATAAAAATAGAATACCCAGAAAGGAACGTTCTTTTCTTGGTAGATATCTCTTAAGATATCTTCTCCTTGTTGGAAAATATCTATGCCGGGCTCGGTGGCTCAGTCTGTAATCCCAGCGCTCTGGGAGGCCGAGGTGAGTAGATTACCTGAGCCCACGGGTTCGAGACCTGCCTGGGCAACTTGGCTATACCTCATCTCTACAATAAATCAAAAATTAGCTGGGCGTGGTAGCACGCGCCTGTAGTTCCAGCTACTTGGAAGGCTGAGGCAGAAGGATCGCTGGAGCCCAGCAGGTCGAGGCTGCAGTGGTCAGGAGCAGCCACTTCACTCCAGTCTGAGTGACAGAATGAGACTCCAACTCAAAAAAAAAAGAAGGAAAATATCTATGATGTTTGATAATTCTTTTTTTTTTTTTTCCATTGGAATCTCACTCTGTTGCCCAGGCTAAAGTGCAGTGGCACACTCATGGCTACCCCACCATCAACCTGTTGGGTTCTGGCGATCCTTCCGCCTCAGCCTTCCAAGTAGCCAGAACTACAGGTGTGCACTACCATGCCTGGCTAATTTTTGGTTTATTGTAGAGATAAGGTCTCACCAAGTTGCCCAGGCTAATCTCGAACCTGCAGGCTCAGGCAATCCACTTGCCTCGGACTCTCAAAGTCTGGGATTACAGACCAGCCCACATTTGATAATTCTAAAAGCAAAACTACATGGATACTTGAAAAGGGTTATGAGGTATAGGCCATTTATTTCAGGAAACCAGGGAAAATTATTCATGTTTACACAACAGCACAGTCTTTCTTATATGAGGACCAGATACCTTTAAAAAATAGCTTTTATTTTTAAAGTCAGATAAATTCACTAGGTTTTAATCTGACTTTGATTCAGAGAAAGAGTTGTCATCAACTTGAGTTGGTCAGAAAGTAGACTCACCTTTCTCCCTGTGAAGGCGAATTCACATTTCTACTGAGGTCTTTAAAGCACTTGCAGCACATGGATGGCTAGTGATGTGATTATTTTAATGAATGCATCTTAGAAATGGTTAGTGTACTGAGATCACAAACATTAAACCATAGATTCACTGTCATTAACAGTGGCTGTTTCCAAAAATGCACTGTCTCTGAGAGTAAGTGCTGAAGGAGAAAACTCCATCTTGGCCATCAGGAACTTAATGCAGAGCTGGTAAATCAGAACCTGGGGAGGCAATTCTATACTTGACTGGGTTGTATTCCAGATCCCTAATGCAGCAGATCAGAACTTTGGACCACAAAACATCTGACCCAGCTGCTTCCCAGACAAGACTGGTGTGGAGACATAGTGCATTTACTCACTATACCTGCTTCAAATGAACTTTCTTTTATGAGAGGATAGGGTGGTCTGCGGTGTGGTCAGTGGGGGTTTTTTCTGTCCCCTTCCCTTTTTCTACTCAGCCCCCATTGCCCAAGGGCCTCTGTCTGACTACTGTCAAAGTCCCCTTTCAAAGGCTGGTGCACAGCAGCATGGCCAGTGCCACTGTGAGAGCTGCTTTTATGCTAACTTCAGAGTGTTTTCTCCGTTTTTAATATGTAGTCATGCTTCTGTTGCCAGAGAGGGGGAAGAGGAACCTTCTCTCTTAATCCCAGCAGTCAATGGGTTAGGGCTGAGGCCAGCTCCTGTTTCTTTCTGTCTCCTCCTAGTAAAGCCCTATTTGTGTATGTGTGTGTTCTGTAAGTCAGGTGTTTGTAACTAGGGGCATAACCTTGATGAGGTAAAGGCAAACTGACCATCCAGAGTGCTGATGTACCCAGTTCTAACCCAGCAAATTGGACAAAAGATCGTAGGCCTCTCTCCATCTTGATCAGGGCACTCTTCTTTAAATCTTCACTTGTTTCCCTAGGCAGAAACACCACTTTTCATGAAAAGAAAAAGGGTATTTTTTCAGGATTTATGTTGAATGAGTCACTGCTTGGGGGAGTATTTGCTGTATTTGTTTGCTTCTGTGTTTATAGCATGATGTTGCTATGCCTGAAGAGTTGAGAAATTCCTCTCTTCAAGGGTCAGATTGGCAGTCCTTTTTGGCACACTGTCTCATTATTTTCTATCAAATGTAGGCACAGGTTCAGAAGACTAAAGACCTGCTCAATAACGTGGCCTCTGATGAAGCTAATTTAGAAGCCAAAATTGAAAAGAGAAAATTAGAACTTGAAAGAAATCAGAAACGACTACAGACTCTGCAGAGTGTCAGGTAGATATGAACATCTGGACCGTGAGTAGGAAGATGTCTCTGAAGTTAAAACAAGCTGGGCATGGTGGTGTGTGCCTGTAGTCCAGGCTACTCAAGAGACTGAGGCAGGAGGATCACTTGAGCCCAGCAGTTCGAGGTTACAGTGAGCTGTAATCACACCACTGCACTCCAGACTGGGCAACATAACGAGACCTCATCTCTTAAAAAAAAAAAATTAGAACAAAGACAGTGATGTTAGCTCTTCAAGCAGTGAAAAAAGCCTTACATGAAGGTCTCTGTAATTCAGAGTACACATGCGCTGCCTGTCGTAACAAGCAGACTGTTAAACTCGTTTTCTTTACTGCTTTCAATGTTTCAGGAAAACTGCTTAATTCTTGAACTGCCCTTTAAGCTTTTATAGCTTCTTGGAACTCAAGGCAAAGTAAGGAAATCCAGATGGCAAAAGTTACATGAGACTTGGTCTCCTAAGATCTTGCCATAAATTAGGTGGAAACAGAAACACACTCCCTCTCTTGGTTTGAGTGATAATTCTTCACCAGTCAGTAATTTATCTTTCTTCCTGTTTTGATGATTGTATTGTGGCTATGTAGGAGAAAATCCTTATTTGTTGGAAATATACACTAAAGCAGGGAAATGGGACATATGGTCACCAATTATTGTCACTTAGGTGAGGAAAAATGCTTTGTGTTATACTCCAGCTTTAAGGTAAATTTGTGATTTTTTTTAAAATTAAAAAAAATGTTTTTAAGTGATTATACTCTTATGCCTGTCAGTATTCTAACTGAATCAAGTGAACATGGCATGATGTGCCCTTATCGTGTATTTATTTATTTATTGAGTCAGGGTCTCTGTCACCCAGGCTGGAGTGATATGATCATGCTTCACTGCAGCCTCAAATTCCCAGGCTCAAGCAATCCTCCCAACTTGGCCTGTCAGAGTGCTGGAATTACAAGCATGAGACACTGCACCTGGACAAGAAAATAAAACACATTTCTAAGCTGTATGAATGAATAATAGTGGCACAAAACGCCTAGATCAGTGGGGCCTTTTAAGCATGTTCTACACATTTCTCGGAGTTCTTTCTTCTCTTTACTTGTTTGTACTCTCCTTCCCTTTATGTGTCTGGTTTGCTTTCTCCCGTTTCATTCTCCCTTTATTTTTCCATCTCTCTTGACTCCCTCCTTTTCCCAGGTACTGCATCTACTCTGAATGTGTTTTGTCTTTTTGAGTTACTGGTTGCTGGCCCCCACTCTGGCTGCTGTCCTGAGAACTCTGGAAGGTCAGTTCCTGGAGGCAGCAGGCAGTAACCACAGGGAACAAGCAAAGGCCACCTGCCAATCAAGGGCAAGTCCACACTCCGTTCTCTTCTGAAATCAGTACGACCATGTAGATTTATCTTGTTAACAAATTCTGCTCTTGAAGCATGAGTTCATTTTCATTAAGCCTAAATCTTTTTTTTTTCTTCTTAGAGATGAGGTCTTGCTCTGTCACCCAGGCTGGAGTGCAGTGGCACAGTCATAGCGCACTGTAGCCTTGAACTCTTGGGTTCAAGTGATCCTCCTCTTTTAGCCTCCCAAGTAGCTGGGACAAAGGCACACGCCACTATGCTCAGCTAATTTTTTTATTTTTTATTTTTGTGTAGAGACAGGGTCTTATTATGTTGCCCAGGCTGATATCTGTTTATATTTTTAAAAGAGCAGAGTCTCTCATTAAGATGAATAATAAGAGAAAAAAGAAAATAAAGTTCAGCAAACCAGTTGAAACAGGTTTTTATGTTAGTTTAGTTTTTGTTTTTAAATTTTATGTTGTTTTAAAATAGTGTTAATTCATAGCAACTTATGTTTCTCTTTTTAGAGACTGATTAAAACATCCAAACAGTAGCATATTATACCTAACTAATAATGCATATATTTAGTTTATTGATATCGAGCAATGTGTACATTATGTTATTCTTTTTTAACTTTGTTGAATCTATGATACGTTGAAGTGAAAAACATACAAAACTTCATTTATGGCTACATATTTAAATTTTGTTTAAAAATGTATTCCTGGCCAGGTGTGGTGGCTCTTGCCTATAATCCCAGCACTTTGGGAGACCGAGGCAAGAGGATTGCCTGAGTTCAGGGGTTTGAGACCAGCCTGGGCAACTTGGTGAGACCTCATCTCTACAATAAATCAAAAAAATTAGCTGGGCGTGGTGGTGTGCATCTGTAGTTCCAGCTGCTTGGAAGTCTGAGGTAGAAGGATCACCTGAGCCCAGGAGGTTGAGGCTGCAGTGGCTGTGAGCATGCCACTGTACTCCAGCCTACGCAGAATGAATGAGACTCCAGTGAAAAATAAAAAATACAAATATTTTTAAAGTGTTAAGTACTTATATCTGGTGATGGCATTATGAGTAATTTTTATATCATTCTTTATACTTTCAATATTATTTCAAGTTTTTACAAAGAGCACATCTTATTTATGGTTTAAAAGTATGTTCATTTTGGGCGAGGAAAGAGAAAAAGAGGAATTAGTACTAAGCATTTCCAAGAGTGAAGGACCTTCTCTAATTAAAGGCTTCCACAGAAAGCCATGATGATATATGGAACCCTGAATACCAATTTAAAACTACTATATTGATTAACCTTTCACTTTTAATTTCATTTGCTTGTTTTAGGCCAGCTTTTATGGATGAGTACGAGAAGGTTGAGGAAGAATTGCAGAAGCAGTATGACATTTATCTAGAGAAATTTCGAAATTTGGCATACCTGGAACAGCAACTCGAGGGTCATCATAGGATGGAACAAGAGAAGTTTGAGGTAAATGCTTAGGCTGTTCTTCCAGACAGATTATTCCTGCTGTTGTGTTGTTTTGTACTTAGTGACATGTCAGTTTGTAAATATCATTGTAAAAGAAGAGTCAGTGCATGTTTTCTCCTCTTTCTGAGGATTGCTTACGTAATTCTTTTGTTTTCCTGGCAGTGTACCCTGGATCTCAGGGTTATGACATTTTGATGTTATGTTTTTATCAGGCCTAGTCAACTAGGAGTACAGACGGGGCCAACATGTGACCTGTGCAGCTGCACAGATGCTGTGCTTAGAAAGGTCTATGTTTGCTTTCAGACTTTGCTGTTGCTATCTTGAATTTCATAATAAGGCCAAGTGCAGTGGCTCAAGCCTATAATCCCAGCATTTTGGGAGGCCAGGGTGAGAGGATTGCCTGAGCCCAGGGATTCGAGACCATCCTGGGCAACTTGGCAAGACCTTGTTTCTATAATAAATCAAGAAAAATTAGCCAGGCATGATGGTACATGCCTATAGTTCCAGCTACTTGGGAGGCTGAGGCAGAAGAATCACCTGAGCCCAGCAGGTCAAGGCTGCAGTAGCCGTGAGCTTGCCACTGCACTCCAGCCTGGGAGACAGAGTGGGATTCCAACTAAAAAAAAAGTCAGGTTCAGTGACTCAGTCTGTAATCCCAGCACTTTGGGAAACTGAGGCGAGTGGATTGCCTGAACCTGCACTTTTGGGACCAACCCAGGCAATTTGGTGAGCCCTCATCTCTATAATAAATCAAAAATAAGCCGGTTGTGGTAGTGTGCACTTGTAGTTCTGGCTACTTGGAAGGCTGAGGTGGAAGGATCGCCAGAGCCCCAAAGGTCGATGCTGGAGTGGCCGTAAGTGTGCCACTGCACTCCAACCTGGGTGACGGAGTGAGATTCCAACGCAAAAAAAAAATTTTTTTTGTGATAATTTATTTATTAAAAACAAATGTTTTTGAGACATGGTCTCACTCTGTGGTCCAGGCTGGAGTGTAGGGGTGCGATCATAGCTCCCTGCAGTCTTGGACCTCCTAGATTCTAGGGATCCTCCCACCTCAGCCACCCAAGTTTCTGGGACTACTGGTCCATGCCACCATGCCTGGCTAATTGTAATAATTTTTGAGTACAGATGTAAAACCATACTTGATAGTTCATGTAAAGATTTTCAAGCTCTGGTTAAGTGAATCACCTAAACTCATTGGAGACTGCTTTATAAAGACAAATGGCAGTTTATTGATTGCTGGGGGAAATATGCATGATCCAGAAACTGACCAGCTATCTTACAGATTCCTCACATCCCAGTGGGTAAGGCCATTTAGGAAAGAGTATTTCAGTTCCCAGCATGAGTTGATAAGTGTGGAATTCAGAGCAAAGTAAATTGGACCAAGTTGCAATCACTTTTTGAATTGCCCTTATTCCCTAGGGATATTTCTGCTTAATGGTAATTTAGAATCTGTCCATGATGAAATTGGTCTAGTCTCCCTTTCTGACACTGTCCTTGGCAACTTTTAATTATGCTAACCTTACAGTGATTATATACCCATCATAGTTAAAAATTTTAAAAGAAAAGAAAAAGACTGTGCTAGCCTCCTTACTACCCGGGCGTTTGAATTAGGTAGAGCTATTTTGTTGTCCAGGAGGGACTGGATAACTGACACATTCATGTGGACATATGTCATCTTGATGAGTAGCTTGTTGCCAGCATTACTCTGTGGCAGAGGCAGCCCTTGAGAAACAGGCATATTTTAAAGGCAATGGAAAGAGCCTGGAGTTTAGGACATTTTAAACATTGTGTACTTAGGAAAAAGCAGTACAGTAGTGGTGAGAGTAAACTTTATTTTGTTGTATCATCTGGGGCCATTCCTGGACACTTATGGGGCTGGAGCAGCCATACTAAACAATACGCCTTGAAATGGCTGATAAGTGGCCCAGATCACTTTTTAAGATGCCCCTTTATCCTGCCCTTCCTTCAACAAGTATTTCTTCTCTTTTTCTCCTGTACTCATTCCTACTCCCTATTCATTTTTTTTTTTTAGAGATGAGGTCTCACTGTGTTGCCCAGGATGGAGTGCAATGGCTTTTCTCACATGAGGCTGTTGCACACCACAGCCTTGAACTCCTATGCTCCTGCCTCATCTTCCTGAGTAGCTGGACTATAGCACATGCAACTGTACCTAGCTACTACTACTTCATCATTATATACTGTTAACTCACAGTATCCCATGCCTGAAACATAGTGCTTTGTTTTTTAATGTTTAGAGCAAGAACATTTTTTTTTGTGTTGGAGTCTCTCTCTCTGTTGCCCAGGCTGTAGTACAGTGGCACGTTCACGGCTACCACAGCCTTGATCTGCTGGGCTCAGGCGATCCTTCCGCCTCAGCCTTCAGAGTAGCTGGAACTATAGGCATGTACCACCACGCTGGGCTAATTTTTTGATTTATTGTAGAAATGAAGTTTTTCCAAGTTGCCCAGGCTGGTCTCAAACCCATGGACTCAGGCAGTTCTCTCACCTCAGCCTCCCAAAGTGCTGGGATTATAGATGTGAGCCCCTGCACCCGGCAAGAGCAACAACGTTTTTTTGAGTAAGAAAGCAGGATTTACTGAGAGGACAGAAAAGCTCCCACAGTGGGAGGGGACCTAAAGGTATTGCCCGAGCAACAACATCTTAAAAGCCACTTTCCTTTCCCGTTCTCCCTCTTGAAAATAATTAGTGCCACATTTTATAACCTAACTGAAGTTTCCTCCTCCCAGCCCCACCCCAGGAGTTAAGACTAGTATATCTTCTTTCTCTTCCCATTCTGACCCGTCCCACCATTTACCATCTTTTGAGACTGAAATTTGAAGGCAGTGTAGGACAGAAAAAATAAAATAATGCTCTCTTCTTTTGAGAGTTAGAGGCCTGTCCCTGTCCCAAAGTTAGGTATGTCTGTTTCGTGTCCCCACTGCATGTAGGCATACACGATGAGCAGTTAGTTGTTCTCCTCAGGGGCAGGGACTTGTGGCTGTAAGAGCATGGAGTGGGGCAACCACTTTACTTCTGGGAGCTCGTGTCCACAGGGCTGCCGGGAGCTTGTGTCCACAGAGCAAAAGGCAACACGTTTCGGTACCCTATAATTGCTCAGGCAGTGTAAGTTCTCTTCCCTTTCCTTGAGTTTAGATCTTTCCTCATGGTGTATCACAGACTCACGAGTGTTACACGGTGGTAAAGAGTGGAACGGTCCACACAAGGGTTACACCTTCTGAGTCGTGCTTCTTCTCTTCCACAGGAAGCTGAAAATACCCTCCGTTTGATGCAGAACAAGCTAAAGGAGGAAGAAAAGCGGCTACTCAAGAGTGGAAGTAAGACTGCTTTGTAAACAGAGGAGTTTATTCTGGACTCGCATTTTCAGCTTTGACAAATGTATATATTTTCTTAAATATTTGTTTTATTTTTAAGTGTTTTCTTTCAGCACATTTTTGTTGTGGTAAGAACACTTTACATGAGCTCTGTGTCTTAAATTTTTAAAAGTATATTGTTGACTATGAGTACAAAAATATTTTCAAAAGGCAGTTTTCTCACAACTTTTATACTAGGTACCACATTTGAATTCACTTGCAAGTAGTTTAAATTACATAGCATCTAAAGCACATTTGGTCCCTGTGCCAATCAAAATAGTGTTTTCCCCTGTTTAAATGATAGTTTGAATTATATGTAACATATAACTAAAAGAAAACTTGGCCCTGAAGGTTTGTAGGGCTTTGTATTTTAGGGCAGAATGGTGGAAAGGAAGTATTGGGATGCCGTGCAGGTGAAGGGGCCACTCGCCTAATGATAGTCTCCCCCACACCCATGGGATATCCTCCCATAATCCAAAATTGCTTGGCAAAGCTCTCACCTGTAGAGCAAAGGGGTTACCTACATATAAGACCTAGATTCTGGGAAGGAATGCCCTCCATGACTGGTTGGCACTCTTTATCCATGAACTTCACCAAGCAGTCAAGTCAGTGTCGGGAGTAGTAGCAACACACAGTCTTCCTGCTGGATTGACAGCTTCATTGCATAGAGTTACTTATCTTCTTGCGTATTGCTCTTTTTTATGATAAAATATTTTATTCTCTCATGTTGAGGATGGTATACTTGGGGCATCAGGCTTATCCACACGCATATGTGCTTGTACTCTCTCTCTCTCTCTCTCTCTCTCTCTCTCTCTCTCTCTCTCTCTCTGCCACTCTCTGCCTCTGCCTTTTCCCTTTGTATATCTCTTCTTTTGTACTTGTTCTATGACTCTCTTCTGAATCTCAGAAAACTCTGGAAGGAGAATAGGGATTGCTGAAAAATCCTCTAGGGACAAGTTCAGGAAATTCAGAGGGCCTCTCTAGCCAAAGCAGCTTCTTACCTTTTCGTTCCATGCCAGCCAGGAGAACCCAAAGCAGCCCTAGATGATAAGCCTGCTTGGAGTTTATCTTCTCACAAGAGGCCTGACACAGGCAAGAGCCCTGGTTGGATGACTGTGTCCTTTTCCACCCCAGAAGCACATATTAAGATCAGGATGAGCTGGGCACGGGGGCTTACGCCTGTAATCCCAGCACTTTGGGAGGCTGAGGCAAGAGGATAGCCTAAACCCAGGGGTTTGAGACCAGCCTGGGCCACTTGGCGAGACCTCATTGCTATAATAAATCAGGAGGTCAAGGCGGTGGTGAGCTAAGACTGTGCCACGGCACTCCAGCCTGGGCGACAGAGTAAGACCAAAAAAAAAGACCAGAATGACCTTGTTCTACTCTTCTGAATTCAGACTTCAGTTTGGTAATACATAGGTCTGGAGTCTCTTGAAGGACAAAGATTCTTATGAGCATTTGTGATTTAGTTTTTTCAGAAAAACAATTTTCAGTTTAACCAACTTAATGAAGGGTGGGTAGTACTTAATCAGCTTGGGGTGGGCAAAGAATTTAGAAAAATATTTTTGAAGGACTATTTTCAGTTCTATGTATCCTAAAGTAGTTAAGATGCTTATTTTTCTTTGCTTTTATGCACACGTGAGACCATTACCCAGAATATTGGGATCAGAGAGGAAATATATTAAAGAAGACTTTCTGACTTTTTCTCCATCTATGAAAGACTCCTATGAACAGAAAAATTTAATGGTACATTGACATGAATTAAGGGCAAGAATGAACAAAATCCAAAAGCTGAAAGAGATCATCTTGTTCAGTCTTCTTGGTGGGCAGCAGATTTGATCCAACAAAGTATTCTTTTTTTTAGTTGGAGTCTTACTGTGTCGCTCAGGCTGGAGTGCAGTGGCATACTCATGGCCACTACAGCCTTGACCTGCTGGACTCGGGTGATCCTTCTGCCTCAGCCTTCCAAGTAGCTGGAATTACAGGCACATGTCATCATACCCAGCTAATTTTTTAAATTTATTGTAGAGATGAGGTCTCACCAAGTTTCCCAGGCTAGTCTCGAACCCATGTGTTCAGGCAATCCTCTCACCTCAGCCTCCCAAAGTGCGGGGATTATAGGCGTGAGCCACTGTGCCTGGCCCCAACAAAGTATTCTTATCTGTTCTGGGTGCTGAGGATACATCAATGGACAAAGAAGACAGGGATCCTTGCCTTAACTGATCTTTCATTCCAGGGAGAAGAGGCAAGCAGTAAGCAATAAGCCAGCAATATGTATGTTGGAAAGTGAAAACTGTGTGGGGGAAGTAGAACAGGATGGGTGCTCAGAGAGGGTGACAGAATTGTAGTTTAAATTAGGATCAATGTAGGCCTCATTGAGGGGTTGCTGTTTGAGCAAAGACTAGGTAAGTAGAGCTGGGGAGAAAGGAGATATCAGATGAGGAAGGTCCTAAAAAGACCAGCACCCAGGTGGGGGAATGAATTTCACTGAGTGAAGAAATATGTAAACACATAAGACTCCAGCCAGGCAGGTCAGATGTGCTAGAAGGTGGGTCACACACTTGCAGTGAGCCCTTCAGGTAGATACCATCTTCTCTACTAAGTAGGAGATTAACTCATCTGGGATTTGGTGATGGGGGTTAGTTAGGAGTAAGGGACTTAAGTAAGGAAGAGAAAGTGTGAGCCATATGGGGAATGAAGAACAAGGTGATTAGAGATGGGAGAGTGCCATAAGGGGCTCAGAGTTTAGAAAGACCAAGTACTTTGCTCAGATGCCCTGTAATAAAATAGAAGTCAAAAGCACATCTTCATCTTGCCACCATCCTTCATCTTTTTTTTTTTTTCTCTGAGTCAGAGTCTCACTCTGTCGCCTAGGCTGGAGTGCAGTGGGACAATTATGGCTCACTGCAGCCTTGACCTTCTGTGCTCAGGCAATCCACCTTGCCCTCCCAAGTAGCTGGCACTACAGGTGTGCACCACCACACCTGGCTTATTTTTAAATTTTTTTTTGTAGAGACAGAGTCTTGCTTGTTGCCCGGGCTGGTCTTGAACTGGACTCAAGCATTCCTCCTGCCTCAGCCTCCCAAAGGGCTAGCATTACAGGTGTGAACCACTGTGCCCAGCCACATCATACAAATGTCATTGCTGGTAGTAAATTTATCACTGTACCCTGTGTAAGATTCAGCAGGGTGGAATTAGGAATTTCTTAAAGAAGTTCTGTGATTTCATAAAGTGACCTAGACATTTCTAGAAAACATTTGAGTTAACCTTGCTGTGATTCAATTCTTATGGTATAACAGAACAGATGTGCATGAATTTACCACATATTTATTCATGCCTACTATGTCTCACACATTGTCTAGCACCAGGGACACAGTGATGGATGAGGCACAATTCCTACACTCAGGGTTCTCAAAATCTGTAGCTGCACCATTCAATACTTACCCACAAACCACATGTGGCCCTTGAGCAGTTAAAATGTGCCTCATCCAAATTGAGAAGTGCTATGTGAGTGGAGACTATGGACCAGACTGAAGACTTGTTATGAAAAATAGTAAAATATCTCATTAATAATTGTTTATATTGATCACTTATTTAAAAGATATTTTAGATATATTGGATTAAATGAAACATTATTAAAATTAATTCACCTATTTCTTTTTACTTTTCTTTAATGTGGTTACCAGAAATTTTAAAGTTATATCTGCGGCTAGAATTATATTTATTTTGGACAATACTGATCTAAAATAAGAAACTTACAAAGGAGGTACAGTTTAAGTGGGTGTGAAGTGATATCTCATTAGAGTTTTGATTTGCAGTTCTCTGATGGCTAATGAAGTTGAGCATCTTTTCATGTGCTCATTGGCCATTTGATATCTTTTTTGCCAAATCTTTTGCCCATTTTTTTAAATTTTATTTTTGAAAGCAGGATTTATTGAGAGGACAGAAAAGTTCCCAGAGCGGGAGGGGACCCAAGGGGCTTGTCCTCTTTTGACCATTTTTATTTTTATATATTTATTTGTTTATTTTTTTGAGTTGGAGTCTCACTGTCACCCAGACTGGAGTGCAGTGGCCACTCCCGGCCACCACAGCCTTGACCTGCTGGGCTCTGGCAATCCTTCCGCCTCAGCCTCCCAAGTAGCTGAAACTACAGGCGCACGCTACCACTAATTTTTTTTTTTTTTTATTATAGAGATGAGGTCTCGCCTGCCCAGGCGGGTCTCAAACCGACGGGCTCAGGCAATCCACTCACCTCAGCCTCCCAAAGGCGTGGGATTACAGGCTGAGCCACCGAGCCCGGCTTGACCATTTTTAAATTGAGTTATTTATCTTTTTAAGTTATACGAGTTCTTTGTCATGTCACTGCACTCCAGCCTGGGTGACAGAGTAAGACTCTGACTAAAAAAATAATAATATCCTGGATAATAAACCCTTATGTGATTTGTGTTTTGTGAATATTTTCTTCCATTTTATGTGTTGCCTTTTCACTTTCTTTTTTTTTTTTTTTGAGTTGGAGTCTCACTCAGTCGCCCAGACTGGAGTGCAGTGGCCGCTCTTGGCCACCGCAGCCTCGACCTGCTGGGCTCCGGCGATTCTTCCGCCTCAACCTTCCAAGTAGCTGGAACTATAGGCGCATACTACCACGCCCGGCTGATTTTTTTTTTTTTTTTGTTTTTTT